GGATCCTTCCATGCAGGTTCCCGGTGGTGCATCCCAGTGATCCAATCACACCAGAATGCTTTGATTTTAATTAAAAGGGGAATTACACTCCCAAGTAGAAAATCCCTGTTATAGTGAACCAGTTCTTCTGATCTCTACAAAAAAGTGAAGAGGGAGAATTGAACAAATAAACATTATCTTGTCTTTGGGCAGGTGACACTCTGGGTTGACACAGGGTTTGACTTCCCTTGGTGACACCAGTTACTCTTCCATTCTCACCAGTTTTTATGATTTTTCCCTGATATTTTGTTTCCCACACTGGTATATTTGAGTTCCTGTTAACATCCCTATTCAGCCTGTAACTGTATGTCATTAAATGGCATAATTAAGGCTCAGGTTACAGGAGTGACCTTTGATTTGGAGCCCTAATGGTGAGCTGAATGAGTTGGAGATGTCTACACTGCTAATAATTTGTGTTTAGAAAGATCCTCATAATAGTATTGACATTTGGGCTGCATTGGTGAAATCAGGACAGGGGGAGAGATAAACTTAATCAAAATTCCTGTGTGGTGCAGAGGATCCCACTGTGATTTGAGAGGTAACATTTGTGGTTTGTCATCACCTGTCTATTTTAATAAAGTCCTGCTTGTGCTTAAAACTTTGATTTTAGCCAGGTGAATGTGGCTGTCCAGGGGAATCTCTACTGGAGTCACTTGTGGCAGTTCTGTTTGAAGAGGAACTAATTGCTTTGGGTTCAGGAATGTTCTGCCACCTGACTCAGAGCCTGCTCTCAATGTTGCCCATTCAGTGGCAACCCAGTGTTGCAGCAGGTGGCCAGTGCTGTCCTCGCTGTTCAGGTGTTGTTAAAGACCGAGCAGGGCGTGTCCAGCACTGGCTGAGCGTGGCTGGGTAAAGCTTGGGAATGTCAGGTGTCTCTGGGAGCCTGCTGGGCCCAGAGCTGGCATTTTTGCTAGGAAAATCTTAGGACCTGAGGGATCATCTGAAGCTGTGCCAGGGCAGGGTCAGGTTGGATCTCAGGACAAGGTTCTTCCCCCAGAGGGTGGTTGGCACTGACCAGGCTCCCCAGGGCAGTGGGCACAGCCCCAAGGCTGCCAGAGCTCCAGGAGGGTTTGGACAACGCTCTGAGGGACAGGGTGGGATTGTTGGGGTGTCTGTGCAGGGTCAGGGGTTGAACTAGATGATCCTTGTGGGTCCCTTCCAGCTCAGGATATTCCAGGATTCTTTTCCTTTCTGTTCCACTTGGTACACCCTGAACAGGAAGAGGGTGAAAATCCTCGGAGGTTTCTAAGCAGCTTTGTCCACAGCCTGTCCTGCTTCCCCAAAGCCTTCCAGCTGCCACCAGGCTGGTTTGTCCTTTGCTTTCCAAACACTCCCACTGTGGAAGATGGGATTTTGGGTGTGGGGTGTTACAGGCTGAGCCCTCTGCTGTGGCTGAGCCAGCTCATGCAGAGAAGGGGAATGTTTGGGCTTTTCAAGAAGTTCAGATTTTTTTGGGCCGTAGAAGAGAAGCTTCTGATGGATGTAACTCAGCTGTACTTCTAGGAGAGAGATTGGAAATTGCAAGAATCAAATAATTGTTTAGTTTGGAGAAGACCTCCAAGATTTAGTCCATCTTTATCTGATCCCCACCTTGTGCCCCAGCCCAGAGCACTGAGTGCCACGGCCTGTCCTTCCTTGGACACCTCCAGGGATGGGGACTCCATCACTCCCTGGGCAGCCCCTTCCAGTGCCTGACCACCCTTTCCATGAAGAAATTTCTCCTGATGTCCAACCTGACCCTCCCCTGGCACAGCTGGAGGCCGTTCCCTCTCCTCCTGTCCCTTGTTCCCTGGGAGCTGAGCCCAATCCCCCCTCCTGCCAGGGAGTTGTGAAAGCAAGAGTTGTGAGCCTCCTTTTCTCCAGGCTGAGCCCCCCCCAGCTCCCTCAGTGGCTCCTCATAGGACTTACAAGAAAACTAGAAGAAAAGAATAGGCCCAGACTATTCATGTGTGTGTTTTGAACACGCCCCGTGACAGAGAGTCCTCTGCAGAACAACGTCCCTGCTCCCCAGGCTGCTCCCAGGGCTGGCTGTGGGCACGAGCCCTGACTTGCCATAGCCCTTTGCTGGCCTCGTGCTGGAACACAGGAGCTGTGGGAGCACCAGCCTGTTGGGATTTCCCTGCAGAGCATCCCTCAGCAGTACAGTGCTCTTTGGTTCCAGGGGTGATCATGTTCCCACCACCAACACCCATCGTGACAGGGTTTGACAGGGAGAGCTTTGAACTTACCTGTCTCACTTGCCCCTCTGTGAGATTTGTCTTCACTGACAGTAGATATTGTTTATGTTTTTGATGCCTCAACGCTGACTCATGAATTCTGAGCCAGAGCTCTTGATTTCTGCAGTAAATTTTTTATCTGCAGAGAAGCCCAGAAGAATCAGCTTTATTGCTGCTTGTTCAGTGCAGCACTGCTGCTCCCCAGGGTTTGGAGGGATCAGGCTCTGCTCATGGCAATGTCCTCCTGGAACTGCACTGCAGTGAGTGAACAGCCAGAGAGAGAGCAGTGTGTGGGTCACGGGAGTTATGGTGAATTGAGCAGTTATTCAGATTGAAATCAGTTCTTTATGGCTGTAATATCCAGGAGTGAAGGAAACCACAGCAGAGTATCAGTGAGGTAATAAAGTGTTTGTCCTTTAAAGGCAGAACGTGACTGTGAGGTCTGTGGAGCCCTGAGGACTCTGGGATGGGCTGAACTTACCAGGGAGCTGAGACAGAGCAGGAACCAGGAGGGAGGTCATTCTGTGTGGGTGGCAGACACCTCACTGTGCCCAAGCTCCTTAAGCTTCTGAGGGTGGAATAAACTGAGCTCAGCTCCTCTTAGTCTGAGCTCAGTGCCATCAGTTTGCTGCTTTTTTGGTTTTTGTTTTTAATGTGCATCTTACGCACTGCAGGACTCTCGTTGGATAGTTTGCATCCTTAAGGTCAAACTGCAAGAATGGAATCAGAGTTGGAAAAGAATTTTAAGGTTGAGCCAACCATCAGCCCAGCACTGTTTTTACCTCTAAACCATGTCCCCAGGTGCCACCTCCACTCACCTTTTGATCTCTTCCAGGGATGGTGACTCCACCACTGCCCTGGACAACCTGTGCCAGTGCCTGACCACCCTTCCTGTGAATAAATTTTTCCTAATATCCGACCTAAACAACATCCTTGGCACAACACTAAGGCCAGTGTGAGTGTCATCTTCAGCATGGAACAGTTCCCACTAATTATTGTGTTCCCTGTTACTTCAGACAATTAATACGTCAAGATTTCTAAGGTTTTAGATAAATTTTCTGGAAACAAAACAAAGGGATTTTTATCTTCAAACACAGGGATATCTTGTGTTCCTCCCTTCTCTGGAGCACATGTGAGGGATTTTGTGCAGCAAGGGGATGGAGCAAGAGAAATGAGAAGGTGCTCCTGAGTTCCCTCCCCCTGTGATTAAACACTTGTGTTCAAAGTTAAGATTTTTGTCCAGGTAGATTCCAAATGTGCTGTTTTCCCACAGGCTACAGCAGTGACAGCTTCCTTGGGATGTCCTTGCTGGGCTGGCCAGTGAGGTGACAGTGACAGGGGCAGTTGTTACTCTGGAGAAGGGCAGGAGATGTTGGTGCTGGGAGGGGCCAGGGTGGCCCAAACCAAGGGAAGCCCGTCCTGAGTGCTTTGTACCTCCACATCTGGCTCATCCAGGGGCAATGTGAGGAACTGGGACTTTTATTGTGCTAGAAATTGTGTAGGAAGAAATAAATTGAAATACTGAAATACCTGCTGGGTCCTAAATGTTGAAAACAAATTTATTTCCTTGTAGCTTTGTTTTTACTCATTGGTCCTCAATATCAGCTGGAAAATAGAAAGAGGAGCTCTGCTGGAATGCAAGGATCTTGACAAAATAAGGTCTAGATTTCTCATCTGTTTCCTCAGCACTCTGTGACCAGGCAGTGTCCAAACTCCTGAATCCCTTGCATATGTCTTTTAAGTTGGGCAGTAGAGAGCTCCTTTGTCTTCTCCAGGTAACTTCTGTTTTCCTTCCCTGGTTTTGTAGTTGGATCCCTCTGCCAACTGGGACTTTGTACTTCTCTGAGGCTTTCCCTGAGCCTGGTGCCCACTATTTAAAGCTTGGTGCTGATCCATGATCTCTGCTCTCCCATTCCTGGCTTTTCCAACAGCAGCTTCCAGGACAAAGGTGCCTGTTGCTGCCTGGGGTGTGTCCAGCCTTAGCTGGCAGCAAAAGTATCCTCTGCTTCCCTAGAGGAGAAAATTTAACTGCTGGTGCTCACACACAGTGTTCCAAGTCCTGTTATTGGAATAGAGTCTTTCAGGTCTTTCTATTTACAGGTTGAGGATTTTGGGCTGATGGTTCTTGGAAGTGTTTTTCAGTTTTCTCAATATTTACCCTATGAACTTGCAGCCAGAACTGGATGTGTGATATGGGATTCCTTAAAGCCCAGTACAGGGGTAAAGATTAGGGTGTTACCACACCATATTCCTGGTTTTCTCTTTCAAGAATCAGTTCAGTGTCTCTGAGCTATGTCTGCTTTGCTTGGTGCTCAGGGCATGTGGGGATGTAAAAAGGAGTATGTGCAGACCCTGCCTGGGGCTGAGCAGCATCCCTGGGACCTGCCCTTGGTGAGAGCTGTGTTATTCCCATGTTTCCCAGGTGATCCCTGGTGCTGTGGGTTATCCCCAGGAGCTGTAACTCAGGTGTCAGTCCTTGTGTGTGGCTGATGCAGGGAGAGCGCTGGTGATTGTTTCGTGGGGATTGGTTTTTGTGATTGTTTCTTAGGGATGGTTTTCAGGGATTGTTTTTCCTGGCCCTTGGCACGTCATTGGAACAACTCTGATCAGTCTGTGTCTGAATTTCCCTGAGGAAGGCACTGAGCAGAGCTCAGGCACCTCCCTGCCAGCTCCCTGGGAGGGGGGTTCCCTCAGTGCTCCATGGCTGTCCCATCCTCCTCCTCCTCCTAACCCTGCTTGTTCCAGGCTGCAAGCACGTGAAGGGCATCCTGCTGTATGGGCCCCCAGGCTGTGGGAAGACCCTGATGGCCAGGCAGATTGGGAAGATGCTGAATGCCAGGGAGCCAAAGGTGGTCAACGGGCCCGAGATCCTCAACAAATACGTGGGCGAGTCGGAGGCCAACATCCGCAAACTGTTTGCTGACGCCGAGGAGGAGCAGAGGAGGGTAATGCAGACACACAGACACTGGGGGGGTGCTGAGGAGGAGCAGAGGAGGGTAATGCAGACACA